TAAAAAGATCATGTAATGTACATGTATGGTATAGTGGCAGTAATCCAGTTTCAGGGCTCATTTACCAATCACTCAAACCTACCTCTTGTGGTTTAAACTAAGCATCACATGAACTTTTCAATTAAATTACTGGGACCCATCCAATATTCTAATACAGAAATTTTTACCATCCCTCTTATTTTGAAGGTTGGCACATATATTAATGTAACCTAAACAAGAAAAACCGGCACATACCTTAACAACTCACCTGACTTGTGCATTACTTTATACACTATGTAGCGTATACTCAACGTTTCACAATAATTAATTATGGAATATTGGGATTGAGACTTCACTTGAGTCTAGATTTATTCTACTAATGTAACATTTCAAAACTTATGAAATTTGGCAAATTCTTAAATACAATCCTTAATTTTGAAGCTTTTTTTGAAGTTATTTTAAGAAGTATAGAAAACAGATTTCAAAGGTAACAACTTGAATGTATATCGTGCCCTTCACATGGGTAGCACCTCAGAGCTGGATTTTTTTAAATGCTAATTTGATAGAGTAAATCTAAACTCACGTGGAGTTTTAACTTACTCATTTTACAAGAGGTTTGGAAGAAGGTTCTTCAGTGCATTTGATCTTGTACTTTTAGAATATCAACTACCTATTTTTAATAATAACAATCCTTGCATTTGATATATTGCCATATCACATCATTGAGACTCTCAAAGTGCTTTGCAGAATATATTGCAAAGTGAATTGACTGTATTTTTGTGGGTGAAATGGGCAGCCAATTGCACACAGCAGTGTTCCACAGTCGTGTATTGAGTGACCACATTTTTTGGGGAAAGGTTTATTACCCCTGGAAAGCAATCTGCCAATCGACTAGCAACTGAATTCCTACTTACTGCTAGGCAAACCGATTTTTAAATTAGTTCAGTAACGCGCGCTTTAACCTTTTCTGCTGTTGATTACTCTTTTTTTTAACATAAATCACAGTGTCCTAAAATTGCCCTTCAATACCCTACCTTCTGTTGCACTGCATTCACCTAAGAAATAACAATAGGGTATTTATGGTAACTAAAATGATGCTATAAAATTCTTCATAAATTTGCCATGATTACTACATGAGATCTGTCAGATTGAAGTGTAAGTGTCAGCCTGACTCACTTAGTAGCACTCTCCCCTCTGAGTCAGATGATTGAGAGTTCGAGCCCCTAATGCAGTGCTGGGTGTGTGCCACAGTGTCAGAGAGGTGTCCTTCTTTGGATGAGATGTTAACCTAAGATCCCTTCTGTCTGTTCAGGTGGATGTTAAAGATCCTGTGGCACTATTTGAAAAAGAGAAGGGAATTTCTCCTCATATCTTAACCAACAATCCACCAGATAATATCAGTTCTTCACCGACATGAAAGGTGCTATACAAATGTAATCGTGTTGTTTGTAGAACAATACTGCCTGCGAATTGATTGCTATGTTTGCCTACAAAATACACAGCCAATGAACTACAGTAATTCCTGTGAAGCACTTTCAAATGTTCTACTGTAAAATGTGCTACTTCAAATGCGGTGATGACTTTATTTTTATGCACTTATTGTTCCTTTCCTGTAAAATGAAAATACAGATCCCCTTTCTGATACTTTCATCATTACGACTGAAAATGTTACAAAAATTCAATCTCTTTGACTCCATAGACTCGATTAGTATCTCCACGGCCAAGTTTACAATGCAACTCAATTGATTATGTTAGGATCATTAAAGCACTACTGTGCTTACAGTGATTTATCAGCTCCACTGAGTGCTGTGGCTTTTCCTGCCTTGAAAACGATGTACTGCCATGGAATAAACCAGTTGGAAATTCATCTTAAATACCAGTTTAGATATTAAATGGACACATGGGAATGATTTAGTAGAATGTCATTGCAAGAGGGATTACATCCATTAATTATTCTTTATTTGATCATAATCTGACCCATAGAACCGTAATAACACACATTTAGTTTCATACAAAAACCTTTGCAGGTTTTACCAAACGCCTGCGTGGATAATAATGTGCATTGACAATATTACACGTTACATTAGAGGGTGGCGTTGCCTTGTACCAGAATTGTTACCCCTTTTACAGGCAAAATCAGACAAGGCCGATCCTTTCATGGTTCTCGTCCAAAGCGCTTGAGGGACATCCCGAAAGGAAACCTGAGAGGACGTGAGAGGTTAAATATCCCAAAAGATTGGTCGCAACCTACAAAGTGGGGAGGGAGGGAGGGGGGGGGGAGCTCATGAAATCGAAGCAAAGCAATGCAACAGCACAGGCGATTCACAGGGAGAAGCCATTCCAGTGATTAACAGCCCCCAATCCCTTGGAGCAGAGAGACAGACAAGTGTTGACCACTGTTGCTCTCACTGTCAGTCGCAAGAGAAACATCACACGTTGCAGCAGTTCAGGCGGTAATATTAAATGTTCCCGAAGAGCAACACACATGATGTTCGTGTCTGTGATATTTCAACCACAACAATCCAGTGGTTTGGATCCTGTGACAAGGCATAAAACCGACCATGTCGTGGTGTTTCGGTAACAAAACAAACATTGCTTTGAGGAGTAAATTTGAATGTAGGTTCCCCCCCCCCTCCCCTCCTCTGAACTTTGATCAGTTTGCTTTGATTTCACACTACAATTAGACAGTTATTTCAAAGAATTCATCACTGGAAGTGTCAACATTTGGGCTGTGATGTTGACACAGATATGCTTTGAGATCGCAATTACAGCGGTTAGTGGGTCCCAACCACTTGACATCGCAGTTTGCAAAGCGAAATAATACAACCGACACCTGTTAAGCGTCCGTTTGTACTCGTTTGGGTCCAATTTATCTTGACTGTTTAACACAAGAATATAATTAAGTTGGAAATCCCTCCCAAGTGGAACATTGCCAAGATGATTCGTGCGCACAGGCACACTTTTAAGTACAGGGTGACCAAGAAAAGTCTGATTTTTTCAGCTGCCCTATTTATCTAAAAGAAACCATAATTTCTTTTAAGGCTTAGGAGACATGGCAATGGTATCACGACTGGTCGGTGGCTCTGCAGTGTGTTGTCGTCTCTGCCCACTTTCTGTGGAGAGGTTGCTCTTGACGAGAAGATTAAGTAAAGCGATTGAATCATTCATTCATTCATTCGATTAATGTTACCCCCCAGTGACCACAGTGAGGAGAGACACGTTATGCTGGAATATTTCCAGGGATTTATTAGAATATTATTAGAATATTAGAATAGGGTTGATATGGTTTGCAATCTGAAATGAGTGCTGGATATACAACATTTCACCATTCAGGGCAGAGTGCTAAAGGGGAGAGGGTGCTGGTGGATGGATTTGGTCCTGTGTATCCCTATATAATGAATCACTTGCTCGTTACATTTTAAGCAGCATTTGATATCTGCGGCATTTCACACCACTCCTTCCTCCATTGCTATCAATGTGCTATTAAACTGCAAACCGAAACCCAAGTGGCTGGGAACAGTCAGCGGGTCCGGCCGGCAGCATCTATGGAGAGAGGAAAGTGAGTCAACGTTTCGGGTCCATCAGCCTTCACCAGACCCCAGTTCCCAGTTCTGACGAAGGGTCGTGGACCTGAAACGTTGACTCACTTTCCTCTCTGCACAGATGCTGCCGGACCCGCTGAGTGTTCCCAGCCACTTGGGTTTCGGTTTGCAGATTTCCAGCATCTGCAGTATTTGGTGTTCTGTTATTAAACTGCATTTTGCCGAAAGGCTCTGAACGATGCGTTTGCTTTTAACAGTTCTTGTGTCACTGGTTTTCTGAAGTGCTGCGATGCACGGACATACAGTTCAGCTCAGCTACGATTCCCAGACCACATCAACGCACAGCACGTTTTTTACTTCTTAAGAAAAGGTAACTCAAAGTGCAACACGACTAACGCTGAAACTCAACGACCAGAAAGAAACGTTGCACTGTTCATGTTTCTTTCTCTCTCTCTCTCTCTCTCTCTCTCTCTCTCCTGGTGCGCCCACAACCAAATGCGTTATAAAACGACTATCAATATTTGTTGCAGGAAAACCTTGCGTTTGCCTTTGAAGTTGAGATCCAGAAATCACAGATTGGTTTTAATGTGTCTGGGCAGGTACCAGCACAGGTAACGCCTCCCCCTCGTCCCCCTCTCGCCTTGCACCTGCTCCACGTATTTCACAGGCACCAAGCAGTCCTTATTAAATCAGGCTCCCGGGTCATTACAGCAAAATACAGTTCGGAATCGGGCAAAATAACCCGAAGCCCTTAGAATACCTTCCGCTCAGCAAAAAGGTAAGGACGCGGGGATTGCAGAAATCCGCTGAGTGCTGAATCTCCGCAGAGCAGAGCAGAGCAGAGCAGTGGTTCGGGCTGTGTTTGCGGGCGGTGCTGGTTGGGTTTGCTCCGGGAGTGGACACGGACACTTTGTGCAAAGAAAGTCGACTCGCCTCTGCTGCGGGACCGGATTCGGGAATAAACTTCAGACCAACTTTGAACGATCCGAACGATAGCAGCTCGATTAGCATATATATATATATATAAATATAAATATATGTGCCCGGAGAGCTTATTTACATAAGGTATGTATATAAACAGAGGCGGATCATCTGATCCGCTCCACAACAGCGCAAACTACCGTCCTCCCAGTAATCACTCACTCACTCACTCACTGCCTCAGTCACTCACTCACTCACTGCCTCAGTCACTCAGTCACTCACTGCCTCAGTCACTCACTCAGTGCCTCAGTGCCAGAAGAAACTATCACACACACAGGGCATCAGAAAACTCTGCATTTTATTTTGTGTGCATTGGTGATTTTATTTGTGTGCATTGTATTTTTTTTCTCTCCGCCCCCCACCGACTTCCCCACCCCCCCCCCCCCCCCACCCTCCCCCCCCCCCCCAGCCCCTTCCCCTGTTTGCCATTCGTAGCCATCCTCCAGAGCCGTTGCCGTTGCTGTCGGTGTCGGTGTCGGTGGTGATCAGCGGCTCCCCATGGCCCCCTTAGCCGACGTTGGGAGCTACTTGGGCGGTCTGGACACCGGCCACGGCGCGGCCCCTTTCTTCCTCCCGGCGGCGGACACCCCGGTGCTGCTGAGTGACCACCTCGCCCAGTCGGAGAGCAGGTTATCCCGAAGCACCGCCACGGACTTAGTGCATCTGCAGGGGATCCTGCGGCGGCGGCAGCTGTACTGCAGGACCGGCTTTCACCTGGAGATCCTTCCTGATGGGACGGTCCAGGGCACCAGGAAAGACCACAGCCCATTCGGTAGCTGTTGCCTTTTTTTTCCCCCCTTTCAATCCCGTATTTGTTCGCTCACCGTCGGCGGCTGTAAGTTGCGCACCTTTCAACCCGAACGGCCGACGCTGCAGCGTCTCGCGCCCGACCCGGGGCTGACCCGCACTTACTACCTCGCGTTAAAATACCCGAGATACCCCCCCCCCCCCCCCCCCCCCCCCCCCCCCCCCCCCCCCCCCCCCCGGCTCCCCGGGTTTGTCGCGTGGTTTTGCGAGCGTTTTAGCTCCAAGAGGCGCGGATGCTGTGATGGGGAGCTTTGCCAGGTAGGGTGGCAGCCAGGGTGCCAGCCAGGGTGCCAGGCAGGCTGGCAAGTTGCCTGGCTGGCTGGTTGCCTGGCTGGCTGGCAAGTTGCCTGGCTGGCTGGTTGGTTGCCTGGCTGGCTGGCTGGTTGCCTGGCTGGCTGGTTGGTTGCCTGGCTGGCTGGTTGGTTGCCTGGCTGGCTGGCTGGTTGGTTGCCTGGCTGGCTGGTTGGTTGCCTGGCTGGCTGGCTGGCTGGTTGCCTGGCTGGCTGGCTGGCTGGTTGCCTGGCTGGCTGGTTGCCTGGCTGGCTGGCTGGTTGCCTGGCTGGCTGGCTGGTTGCCTGGCTGGCTGGTTGGTTGCCTGGCTGGCTGGCTGGTTGGTTGCCTGGCTGGCTGGTTGGTTGCCTGGCTGGCTGGCTGGCTGGTTGCCTGGCTGGCTGGCTGGCTGGTTGCCTGGCTGGCTGGCTGGCTGGTTGCCTGGCTGGCTGGCTGGTTGGTTGCCTGGCTGGCTGGTTGCCTGGCTGGCTGGCTGGTTGCCTGGCTGGCTGGTTGGTTGCCCGGCTGGCTGGCTGGCTGGCTGGTTGCCTGGCTGGCTGGTTGCCTGGCTGGCTGGTTGCCTGGCTGGCTGGTTGCCTGGCTGGCTGGTTGCCTGGCTGGCTGGTTGGTTGCCCGGCTGGCTGGTTGGTTGCCCGGCTGGCTGGTTGGTTGCCCGGCTGGCTGGTTGGTTGCCCGGCTGGTTGGTTGGTTGCCCGGCTGGTTGGTTGGTTGCCTGGCTGGCTGGTTGGTTGCCTGGCTGGTTGGTTGCCTGGCTGGCTGGTTGCCTGGCTGGCTGGTTGGTTGCCTGCCTGACTGACTGGTTGGTTGCCTGGCTGGCTGACTGGTTGGTTGCCTGGCTGGCTGACTGGTTGGTTGCCTGGCTGGCTGGCTGGTTGCCTGGCTGGCTGGTTGGTTGCCTGGCTGGCTGGTTGGTTGCCTGGCTGGCTGGTTGCCTGCCTGGCTGGCTGGTTGCCTGGCTGGCTGGTTGGTTGCCTGGCTGGCTGGTTGGTTGCCTGGCTGGCTGGTTGCCTGCCTGACTGGCTGGTTGCCTGGCTGGCTGGTTGCCTGACTGGTTGATTGGTTGGTTGGTTGTGTGCACAGTAAACTGTTGTGCTTGAAAATGTAACTTGAATACATTTGTGCATCGGTCGCTCGGCGATGATCTGCGATCGTGTGGTTAACTTAGTAATAACCCAGACTGACCCAGGATTAACCATCCATGAGCAGTCATGTCTCTGCACACACATCTTTTGGGGATATGTGTCCTTGTGTTATTCACTCATGTTTAGGTGGTAGTGGCGGTGATGAAGTTAAACGCAAATGCAACGTGTTATCTTTTTATTGCAACCTTAAGATCATAGGTTTCGTGAGGGATCTGTCACAGCAGTAAAGAAACCCCAAGTAAAGCGCTAAGTAAACATAAAACCATCCCTTTGAACACCCCCCACCCCCCAAAAAAAGCCTTCAGCGCTACATCAAACATTTCCAGGTTTTCTTTTAAACTTCTCATTTTTATTCAGCCCCTATTCTCCTTCTCCTGTCTGATGTGGTCTGGACTCGAGATGAATCGCTCTCGTTACATTTTTCAAACTGGTATCACCAGACAAAACACATCAGGGACACCAACCACCAGAAACGTGTATTTAATGGGACATAGAGTAGGGATTATTCGAGAGGGACTTATTAAAACCATCCCAGGGCCTCCCTCGGTTCGGAAAGAATAAGACTTAAACAAATGCATCCTATTGCACCAAATATAACACATATATAAACCAGGTATAACCCATTGCAAATGAAGCTTACACACGTAATTTGATTATTTGGGTCCAGTCGGATGGACCACTGTGCTTTTCCCCGGTTCTGCACATTCCTGTGTTCCTGCGTAACGCAGACGTTAATAAACATTTTTAATAATTGTACGTCATCGAGGGAACACTACACCTGTAATAGTGCACATCAGGTATTTATTTAGCTGCTGCTCAACAGTATTTCCCCCGAGTGGCTGCAGTCTCCCCTTTGCAATCTTGCTTCACTGCGATCTGCAAGGGCCGCTGCCAGGCTCCCCCTCACCTGTCCCTGGGCTCTCTGTCTGCCCGGCATTCCGGCTCCACAAACCTTCCGAGGTGTTGGGATCCAAGACATCCAAATCTGGGGCTCCAAAATAAGTCCCTCTCGAATAATCCCTACTCTATGGGTTAGTTGGGAAAGCAACTGATGATGAGGTTGTCGCACTCATGCCATTTTGCTTCGGAAATAGCAGCTCTGACTGTGATACACTTTAGACCGAGAGACACAGTCCAAGTGTTTCTAGGAAACCTGTATGGAGTGTTGCCCCAAAATACTTTGTTTCTGGCACACACCTGCGGAAGTTCCAGGGACCAGCTGTCCTGTATCGGACTGCCCGACATGTACAGCCCAGCCCGCGTGTCAGGGTATTAAGATGGAAAAGTTTTGCACAAACCCCAAAGGTCCTATATTCCCGGGAACACGATTTTTGCCTATTATAGTGCAGTAATGCATTAACGCACTACCGATTAACAGATGCTAACTAACCTTTGAATCTTTTAACTACAAAAAATGCCTTCAAAATGCAAGCCTTAAAATACTTTCCCCCCCCCCCCCCCTTGTTTTGTAGGGATTCTGGAGTTCATCAGCGTTGCTGTGGGGTTGGTCAGCATTAGGGGAGTGGACAGTGGTCTCTACTTGGGAATGAATGACAAAGGAGATCTGTATGGCTCGGTAAGTGGCACCTCGTAAACCTGACCCCAAAGGTGACAACTGATAAATGGAATGGATTTGCTTTTGTAGCTCTTAAGATTTTCGTGCCAAGCAATTCTGTACAGCGGCAGCACGAAGTGTGTGTAAAAGCCACTTTATTAGACTTTATGGTGTGCACTGTTGATGTATGTGTATGTGGCTACTTCTGAAACTTGTATCATTTGAAATATTCATCCAGTGGCAAAGGTGAGGAGCATCTTTGGTTTATTCATGTTTTCTAAAGAGCGTTAGACAGACAGCAAGTTTTATATAATATTGTAAGTTTTCAAACTTTAATTGATTATATCAGATTAAATTAAGCTGCAAGTGTACTTAGTATGCACTACTTATGAGAAGTTATTCAGTTGTTGAGTGTTTTGGATAAAGGTAAATATACTTGTGTCACCTCTTCCCCCCTCCAAAAAAAAACTATTATAAATGCAACAGAAGAAAGTAACTGTTAACTTTCATTGAACATATTTGTGAGAATATTGTTTCCCTGTTTCTTCTTTGTCTCCTGTGCCTGTTGTACCCTTTATTTGGTGACAAATTGCTTGGGCTTCTAAAAGAACTTGCTTTAAAAACTCCACATATTACTCTTTCACCTTAATCACAGAGGAAACCTTAAGCACCAGTAGGTGCTTTAGGTAATGTGACCTGAACATTTGAAGTAGTTGTCCTTCCATTGTCAGGTTTGATTTTTAGAACCAAGAGTTTCAGTGGCCGATGTGATCAATGATGACATTATCTGATCAATCACATTATCTAATTCCCTCTTTTCCTTCGTTTTGCAATCTTAACCAAAGCAATTGACTGGGTGATAGTGCTGTATCTGTTAGGTGGTTATGGTTGTCTCTATTCAGTTCACAGGGAACCCAAAGACTATTTGTGTGGCTTTTATGCTGGTATTGGAGAGGTCCCAGTGCATGATTGCATTTCACAAATAATAGTACGTATACAAGTTACACTCCCCACAAGTACCACTCTTTACGCACAAGAAGCAGAACTCTTTGAATGCATATATAACCACATGTGCAGAGCACTGGTTGCTGGCTTCTGATTGGTAGTACATTTTGTAATGTTAAAAAAGGCTAATTTAACCATAGAAAATCAGAGAGTCTGGCAGGCATTTTCATAAGCTTTCCATTGTGAAGCGTAAAAGGTTGGCCTTGCAGTGATTCAATTGCAAAGCTGAAGTCATTGGAGATCATATCTATGTAGGTAGTCTCAGGTCCAATACAGAATCATGGAATAAGACCAGTTGGGCCCCAGTTGTACTGTTCATCCTCTACCAGAATGACACAGAATGTGATGAATTTAGAAATGTTGCCGAGTTTAGCTCTGCTTAGCACAATTCAGCAATAACACAGACAAAGTACAATAACAACTTGAATCTATATAGCGCCATTCATACAGGACAGCAGCTCAGAGCACAGATAGCAAAGTTTAATAGGTAGGAGTGTGAGTAACAGAAATAGACATATTATAGTACATGGGGGTGGTGGGGGTAAGGGAATGATTAGTGTTGGTCTTGAGCTGTGCTTGGGCCTTGCTGCTGAGTGTATGTTGGCAAATCCCTTCACTACATGTAACATATACAGTACCCAAACCCAGAGTGTGTCTAATGCTGCCACCGGGCACAATTCTAAGTGCGATATTTCATAATGAGGAAAAGCTATTTGTTTTGTTTCAATCTACATAACTTGAATTACAAGAGCAAGGTATCCAGCTGGGACTATCACACTAGTATATCATTAAAGTGTTTTGGAAATGTCTTCTTAAATTTACAGCAAAATTGATTATGATTCTGTGCATCAGAATTATTATAATGCAACAAGAAACCTTGCTGATTATTAGAAATGACAATTAGCCATGATTTGAATTTTTACCTGCACTGTTGCTTATTAATATAAATAATTTTAAAATTATAGTGCTGAAAGAAGCGTACATAATGCTTAGTAGAAAGAAACAATGTAAATGTTATGAATACCCAACTGGTTCACCAATATCCTACTCCAGTCCCACACTATGTGGTTGACTTAAAATGTCATGTGAAATTGCCTAGCAAGACACTCAATTGCTTACATTGTGGGATTACTATCACCACAAGGGCTGTAATGGTTGAAAGAGAAGCATTTGATGCACATCATAAGTTGCCTTGAGCTGATTTTATATGTAAAATCATCTCAAGGCAACTTGTGATGTGAACAAAATGCTGACATCATCCATATCTTGAGATGGAGTAAAGAGGAAAAATCATATGGAAATAATTCATAAGGGGTGGTGGGGGGGTTACTAATTCAAATGTACTATGTATTAATTTGTTAATAGCACTAACTATCTTATATAATACAAATGTAATATTATAGATATTTTCATGTGTTGCAATGAGTTTCAAATTATTTGCTACGTTTTTGAAATAACTGGCTCTAATATGCTAGAATCCTTTTCCCTCAAGTGACAAAGAAATAGAATTTTGCATAAAATATATTCATTTAAGAACTGTTCACTTTATATTGGTAATCAGTACATTGCCACCAAATAAAATGTAAAGTTCTGGAAGTGAATGAATAAAACGGTTGAGGCTTTACTTTGAGTGTGAAAGGTCTTTGTATTACAATCAAGTTCCTGGAGCAATTGGACTGTTCTCAACAAGTAGAGCGTGCAGACAATTAGTCAGTTGGTTAAGGCTTGCAGTAAATTGAGAACAAATTAGTTTGAGCAGGATCTCAGCCACTTTGTTTTCTAAAATAACATGTAGATACTATAACAAATCATATCAGACATTGTAGGTGTAATAATGATTTTTACATTTGTTACTTCTGGATTTGTAGTAAAATTGGATGTATAATATAGATCGTTTAAATCATGTAAACTTGAAACGCAAGTGAACTTTTAATGTCTCGTGAAAGTCACAAGTTTGAGTTTTATACCAGTAGGATTTATATGCCAGTGTTCACGGTACATGAAAGGCTTACAAAATGTATTTCACTGAAACAGTCTGCACACTGTAAATATCATTCCATTCAGTCTCTCCTATCTGAAATTATACCAATAAATACATTGTTACTTTCCTATTCTGAGAAATGCTGCAGCTAAATTAACAGCTATAGACAAGACCGTAGAGATAGTCTGGTTTACAATCCATGTAGAAAAGTATCAAGTTGGAATATCGAAAATGACTGTTTATTTGTGTTGGAATTTTACATTTGTTTTCATTTATATATTCTTTTCTTTCTAGGAAAAACTGATAGCAGAATGCATCTTTAGGGAGCAATTTGAAGAAAACTGGTACAACACGTATTCTTCCAACCTGTATAAACATAATGACACAGGGCGACGATATTTTGTTGCACTTAACAAAGATGGATCGCCAAGAGATGGGACTAGATCCAAAAGACATCAGAAGTTTACACATTTCCTACCGAGACCCGTGGATCCTGAGAAAGTACCCGAGCTCTATAGAGATATATTAGGATATAGTTGAAGCTACATTGTGTCTTGAGAAGCCTTTTTAAATATCCTGTTCCTCACAGAACCAAGGATGTTGAACATCAGCTTCCTGCAGCTACAAGCCTTTAGGAGACTTGTCCCAAAGGATGACTAGTCAGAGTTGTGGCCTTAGATTCTTCAGATCAGAAGATTTCTTTCAGATGTGCAGTTCCTTGTTCTGGATTCTACACTTTTAAACTATGAGTTGATCGGCCTTATTGGCATCAGTAATGCTTTATGTGGTAGATGAAGAGAAGTTTCAATTGTTGATCATCGATGCTGCTGGTGCCTTCTCTCCAGGATGCAAGTTAACATGACATATTAGTGTCATTTAAAAAAAAGTTCCTACTTTTAATTGTGAGAAAACAGCTTCTGGACTTGTGGAGATAGGTCAGAGGGTCATCCTAAAATTCATCATGAAGACTCCTGCTAGCTTTTCCACAGAGTATCAGCACAATGAGTGTTATTGTGATTTAAAGCACAATAGTGTAACCTTCGTCACAAATGCTGGGTGGATATTCAAGCTCACATTTGTCTTGAACAAAGTTGGACACAAGCCTTTTTACAATTCTTTTAGGATGGATGTATTTATACAGTTCCAAATCACATATATTTATTTTATATAATTATTTATTAAGCAGAGTTTATTTTTACTTAGATATGTACAGGTGAGATAAAGCAAAACCAAAATGAACTGTGCCAATATTTACTCAGAGAGTTCTCTCTCAGTGCAAATGGTGATTACAGAATAATGAAACAAAAAAGTACTACCCGTAGATTTTTATTCTACGGAACATTTTTTATTATCTAATCTATATGTAGTTGTCTCTTGACTGTACTATGAGAGAAGCATCTGTTTCTTTTCATTTTATAAAGAAACCTTTCCAGTTCTGTAATGAATGCAGTACAAATTCAAAAGGGAATTAAAATGTTAAATGTTTTACAGACACGGTGTCTTCCTTCATCTTAAGTGCTAACACTGACATTGAATAATTAGCCTTTACAATTAAGGTTTGACTACAAAGCTTTTCAAAGTAAATGTTTTTGTTGAAGTCGGATCTTATCTAGTATAGACTATATGGGACAGATTCAGTTTATAGTTATGTTTTAATAACATTTTTGTTACTCTGTGTGGGCTAACAGGTGTGGAACTGTTTCCTATATTTATACAGTTGCTACATCACAAATGGAGGTGTCACCTGTTTTATTCACAATTTCAGCCTTTGAAAATAGAGAATGGTAGAATGCTTTATGCCTTGTGTGAAATGTCCTTCTTACTTCATTCCCAAAGCTGGGATGCAACCCACTCTTACGCTATTTTGCATGATTTATCCAGTCTTACTTATGGAAATGCACATGTTTGATGGGAATGAATTGAGCATACTTGCAGTTCTACATTATGTGGAATTCAAAATTAACACTTGTCTAAACAAAAATACTTTGTTGAATTTTGTTCACCTTGTGAACTTTTCTGTACTGTAGATCTTGATATTTCTTCAGTTATTCCATTCTGTCTTCTTGGTAACTTATGCCTGAAATAAAGCATTAATCTTAAAGGACACACCATGAGTAAAATTGCTTCATCAAAAATGAATAGTTTGAGATTGGTCATTACATTCATCTGTTTCACGCTGAACATTTGAAAGAAAACTGTTAATTGTAGAACCTACACAGATAGAGGTTATAAAAGAGGATTTCTACAGATATAAATTTTGCATTTGATATAGTGCTTCATCACATCAGTTAAATAAATGTCTCAATGTTTCACAGGATTAATTGTAGAATGTAATGATGGTCTATTTTTGTAGGCAAACGCAGCAGCCAATTTGTGTCTGCAATGTCCAAAAAAGAGCCATGAAATGAACGGCTAATTTTACTTGCTATTATTGACCAGCACAATTTAATTCAACAATCCACAGATTTTACATTTCAAGGGAAATGCATAAAACCATATGAAAAAAGATGATAACTATTGATTCAATATTGATATTGATTCCAAGTCTTTCAGAGTCATAGCCTATAACCAACACAATATTCATATGGATCTTACTACAATGCACTAGCACCACTGATCCTAGATATAGCATAATTTTATGTGAACAATGAACATTTATAGCGATGGGGTCATACACTCAGGGCAGGAGTCAACAACTCACTCAGAGCTACTGATTAATGGTGTGGGAATTATGCGTTTCAGTTATGGATTGATCAGAACAATTACACTTTTAAGAATAATCAGTGAAATGAGTGAATACGTTTATTTGATACATATACTATACATAGTCAATTCACTTTACAGCAATTACTAGAGAATACTTTTGACATTTTAATGTTATAGGTTCTATATTGTCACATACAATATAATATTTTTTTGGGGGTGGGTTTACGCAATGCACATGACTATTCAATACAATTGATCTTACATTTGATCACACAAGCCAGTTGATAATTTGATTATTACAAAGAATTACAGACTGTACAGCTCAACTAGTCTATGTTGGTGTTCATACTCCAAAAGAGCCTCCACCCCGCCTACATTGTACAGGATAAAGACTATCCTGATTGCTTTGTGGGGAGAAGAATTACTAAACATAAATACCTTACAGTCCTCCTTGAACAACTTAATACTTCTTTTGCCTTCATACTGAATATACACTGCCATCTCTAATTAAATGCAGTAGGACCTTCTCTTTTGAAGTAGTGGCATGGGATTTTTATGGCAACTCCATGAATGTAACACTCCCCCAGCACTGAACTGGAGTGTCAGCCCAGATTATGATCTTAAAATTCAAATGTGGGGCTTAATTAATTTCCATTCCGTAATTGTTAATATATAAATCCACTTATGATCAACACAAGAGGTTACATTGGAGTCCAAAATACAATGTTTGCACATTAGGTTTGCTGCATTAAATGCATCTTCCAGTTTGTGAATATTGGATTGCAACATTTGTGATGAGATTTGTGATACACAAATCACATTTTGCTTGCTGCCCCATCTTAGACTGCCAACTTGGTGTTGCTGATTTGCCATTGTAGATCTCACCATGAAATTTTGTACCTTTGAATAATGCAAAGAATCTTGAATATCATATTTTATACCCTATTATCAGTAAACATCCAGACAGTCAGTACATTGGTAAATTGAAGAAGAATGTTAATACATTTGAGATCAATGTAAAATCGAACTCTGATGTTGTTTACTGCTGATACTAAGTATGTAGCCTTAAAATATTGGCAAGTCCAATATGATGTAACATATTAGTCAGTGCAGTTTATTCAATTGACAAGTGTAAATTAATTCAAACTTAAATCCAAAACAATTCCCAAGTATATCCTCCATACAATGTAACTGTGTATTCATTCAATTAAAGTACTAAGGAACATTTACTATGAAACAAGCAACTAGCTGTTCAAGGATAAGTTTTTGAAAAAGAGTTCATAACAGTTAAGTTTATCTAACAAAAGTTTTCGGACACTATTAAGCATTGGAGGAACATCTTCTAAAACGTTCTGTCCTAAAAGTGTGGCACTCCACCTGGTGGCAGGGCCGAGAACTGAACTAATCTGCCCACAAATATACAGTCAATTCACTTTACAGTGTGTTCTGTGAAGCGCTTTGGGACGTCCTCCCGACGTGAAAAGCGCTATATCAAATGCAAGGATTATTATTATAATCTATTAAAGTACACTCTAAGTTCTAAAACAGTCTTTGCCTGGATCACTAGATAAAATCTATGGTTGTGGCATCAGTTTTCCATAATGTGAGATGTTATGCGATTTTATTTATAATGATCTGTGGACAGGTTATTTCATTTGAACACTGAAGCTTGTTTGCAAATACGTTTCTGCCCCAAAAACAATATCAAGATGTACAGCTCAATTGTCAATTATTTTTTATGATCAAAACCGAGAATTAAATAAGTAAAGCTAATACTATAGCATCGGTGTCTATAGCATCAAAATGTCTCAAAGCAGTCAATACAATCAAGGTTTTGTTAAGGCAAAATTAGCTGCCATTTTGCACACATCAACAACAACAACTTGCACTTATATAGCGCCCTCCATACAGGGTAGCGTCTCAAAGCGCTTGAAGGGGTCAGAGCATTGTGATGCTTGTGGGATATCACAGTCCCAAAAACAGACAAATTAACAATCTTTACATTTAATATAGTGCCTTGCACATTGGGAAGGTGTGTCAAAGAGTTTCATTGGATATACTGCAAAGCGTAGTGACTATGTATTTTGTAGGTGAATATGGCAACCTATTTTTTGTACAGCAATGCTCCACAAACAGCCATGAAGTGAATAATCAATATTATCCGTTGGCCAGGACACTGGGAGAAACTCCCTTCTCTTTTCCAGTAGTGCCATAGAATTTTTAACTTCCACTTGAACAGGCAGACAGGGTCTCGATTTAAAGTCTCATCTGAAGTATAGCACCTTCGACATTGCAAGCACCACCCCAGCATTATGTGACTGAACAATTAATTTGGATGATTGTTGCTTAGGACATCAGGAGAAACTTTCCATTTTGCAAAATCCATAATAGATATGAATATTCTGACAGACCATATAATTTTTATCCACAAATTTATAAAAAAGTCAAAAACGTCTCATTGAATAATGTTAAATGAGGGTGAAATTCAACACATAAATGTACAAGCATTTTTTTCCATGATTCTGAACAATTCCATTTTGATGGAAAACTGGCTAAGACTAGATGGAAATTCAGGAAAATAATCTAGAGGCAATATTAAAATTATTTTACAAAACTGAATTTATGTGTGATGTAAATTTGACATTGCACTTAATTGAATCAATAAGTGGGATTTTATTATTTTTCATATGTTTTATCTGGCTTCTGACCTTTCCTGGGTCTGAAACCATCTATTTGTTTTATTTCCTTAGAAAGGAGAAGTCCCCACCAGAACCATAGAAACGTACAGCACAGAAGAAAGCCATTTGCCCCATTTGTGTCCGTGCATTTTTTTT